TGGAAAGTCAAAGTGGGTTACTATAATATATCCTGCTATTTTTTTCCTTTAATTAAAAGGATAAAAATTTTTTTAAAAAGTATTAAAAAAGTAAATAATGGAGTGGAGATTGAGATAAAAGAGGGCATAACAACGAAACAGCACAGATCAAAACATAACCATTTAAGCAGAATAGTGTTTCACCACCAGATAATCCTGACCTAAAAGTAGTTACCATATTGTCTCTTTCCTTGAAATCCTTGAGTACAACTTCGTATACTGTAGCATTAAGTATATCAAAACAATGTAAAACCATTTAAGAGAATGACAGCATTACAGAGTATTTAGAATCGACTAACAGAAAATGAATAATGGTTTCTGTATAATCTCCTTGTCTTTAAAAGGTTTTTGCTTATACTATTGTACATAATAAAATCCAGTAAGATACAACCTATTTAGACCATTGGAGACAGAAGGACAAAAGCTAGATGAGACTTCAAAACAAGATGATACTAAATCAGTATTACCTATTAAGATGTCATTTTCTCCAAAATAGCTGTTCCTATCATCCAATCTTCTCTGCCTCATTTCTGTTGAGCTCTTATTCTGTCAGTAGCTGTCAGTTTGTCTTCTTCACTTTGTTCTCTGCTCCATTAGTCGTGGCCTCCACTATTTCTGGATTCTTTGTATTTTTCTTTTTTTAGAATATCCTGCAATACTCTCTGTAGAGTTGAATTGGTGGTTGCAAATTCCCCCAGTTCCTCTTTATCCTGGAAGCACCTTGTTTTCCCATCAATTTCCAGGGGCAGTTGTGCAGGATATATCAATCTTGGCTGGAGGTTGTTATCTTTCAAAGCTTGAATTATTTCCCCCCACGCTCTGCGTGATTTGATGGTTTGTGCAGAGAAATCTGCTGTAATTCTGATGGGTGCTCCCTTGTAAGTGGTCTGTTTCTTGTCTCTGACAGCTTTTAATATTCTGTTCTTGTATTGAATTTCTGGAATTTTGATTATTATATGCCTGGGTGTTGCTCTGTTTGGGTTGTAGGTAGCTGGGGTCCTGTATGCCTCATACATCTGAGTATCTTTACCTTTTGCTAAATTAGGAAAATTTTCCTGGATTATTTCTGTGAGTAGCTTTTGTAGTTCATTTGTTTGTGTCCCTACTTCTTCTTTTATGTTCTTAATCCTTAAGTTATGGATCCTCTTTTCAGTTCCTTACTTTGTAAACATCCTCATCCTGGAGTGGATGCTACACCACCCTGGGACAGGGGAATAACCTGCTTACAATATAAGGAAGGAAAAGAAGCTTGCTTCCCCATTTTGCCCTTGCTGCTTTTTCTGTCTTTTGCTGCTTTGAACTGCTGCCCCTGTGCTATTTGACCCTGCCTTGGAGCAAGCTGATTATGGATTGCCTCCCACAAACTATGAGCTAAATAAACATTTCCTTCCTTAATTCTGGGGTATCAGGTATTTCATCTCAGAAATGAGAGAAAAGTAACCAAGACAGTTTTGATACCAGAGAAGTAGAGTCACTGTTGTGACTATACCTGATCATGTGGTTCAAGAGCCTTTGAGAATGGCTTATGGGAAGAGTTTGGAAAGGTTCTGACATGCTGCCTAAAAAATCAGGAATAGAATGCATTAGGCTCTTTGGTATGGGAGATTCTAGTCAGAGCTCAGAAAACTAGAAGGCTGATAGAAATCCTGCTGATAAAATCAGACTTGGAGTTTTTTTCTGGGAAGGACTGCACTGGTTGTTGGACTCCAGATGATGTATGTTATGGCTTGACAGAAAGTTTTACTGCATTTTTCCCCTGTCCAGAGACTTTGCCTGATACTAAGATTAATGGTGGTTGACCAGTTAATCTTTCAGAAAAAACTTCAAGGTAGTCTTCTGTGAAGGTGAGGTATGGCATTTGGGGGCTTTTAGAGAACCAAGAGCAATGATTAAAAACATCGAGAGTTTGGCCAGAAAAGAAGCTCTAATAAAACTACAGACTACAAGAAAGAGCTGAGAAGATCTTGATTGCTGAGAAGGAACAGGAGACTATAAAATTAACCTGCTGGCATCAGAAGAAGCAGCAAGTCTCTCCAAGAGCAGCCTCAAAGCTGTAAAAGTGAAAGACAGGTTTGAGGAGAAAGCCACAGAGTTACATGTTTCAGAATGACTGCAGTCACACTAAGTACCAGAATAAAAGCAGCATTCTAGGAAATAAAAATTTTATTTCTTAGAATTAGATTCTGAGTGCCCAGTGATCCAAGCATATCACGCCACAGGAGAGGAAAGACCAGTCACTGCTCTAGCTGGCAACAAACTTTGGCATCATTCATGTGGTGCAAGTTTTAGGTACATATAGAATGCAAGATTTATGGGGTTAAGAAGGCTTCTACCAAAATTTTCGAAGGCCTAGGAGCCCAAGCTCTGTGCCCCTGAGAAGGAAATGTGTGAAGTCATGAAGGTGAATCCAAGGGTGCAGTGGTGACCCCAGAAATTTGGAAAATCCAGGAATGTGAGTCATCTAAGGAAATCTGCAAGGAGGGAGAAAGCCAGACCAAGAAACTGTGGGAGCTATAACCACCAGAAGTGATGTACGGGTGGAGCCCATCAAGCTCTTTCGAGCTCACAATGTGTCACAGATTGCCTTAAATACTGGACATGGAGCTATAGAATTTAATGTTTGAGCTGTTGGATTTTGGACTTGCTTTGATTCCAATTCTTTGTATTCACATTTGTAAATTTTGCAATGAAAATGGTTATCTTGTGCCATTGACTGTTAGAAGTAGTTAAACCTTCATTTCTATAAGGGGTTGTGGTTAAGAATTTGCCTTACATTATGGAGGAGACCTGAAATTATTAAGACTTGGTCAACTCTTGCAGATGGACTAAATGCTTTTTGCATAAAGGGACGTAGGGACGTGCATGAGTCTTTGAGGGGCCAGGAGCAAAATGTTATAGTTCTAATGTAACATAATATTGATAGACATAATACTGGCTCTTAAGGTTTGTGAAACCTTTACTATACTGTTCAAGTTGTGAAATGTTAATAATAAGCATGTCTTTGTGTCTGGAAAGCAGTTTAAAGAACTGTGTCCGATTGCCAAACTGAAAATGAGTGCACTGTAATTGTTGATACATTGTGTCAACTTGAGAAGTTTAAAACTTTAGCTAAGCAACTCAGTAGGGAGCCAGAGTCTTTAGTTTGTAGACATCCTCATTCTGGAGGAGGGCAGGGAGATGACTTTAGTGCTACACCCACCATGTGGGGATGAAGTAGCCTGCTGACAGTATAAGAGAGAAAAAGGAGGTTAATATCTTCTTTTGCTATCTTCTGCTGCCTTGAACTATGTGCCATGTCACCTTGTGTCAGTCAGCTGATTATGGACTGAAATCTCCACAAACAGTGAGTTAAATGAATATTTCCTTCCTTAAATTTGAATGTCCAGTATTCTGTCTCAGCAATTAGAGAAGAGCAAATAAGATCCCATAGAACAACAACAACAAATCTAGGAGATTAACTTACTTGAGATTCCACAGTTAGGACTTAGGGTTTCCTCTCCATCACTCATCCAATGTGTGGTGTTCTCTCAAGTCAGTTCCATTCAATTAATTCAACTGAATGGAAGTGCAAGTATTCATTGACCATTTATTCTGGGTTTTATTGTTACAAACTTTCACTATTAATTTTAGGCATATTAATGGAAATATTTTAGAATGTACAAGGAATTCAAAATCCTAAACATCAAAAAAAAGATTTAATTTAAACATTAAAACTGCTTACTCTCACAAATTGTCAGAGAAATGCAAATCAAAACCACAAGAAAACATCATGTCACCCAATATAGCATGGCTATGATTGTAAAAAATCCAAAAATAACAAATGCTAGAGAAGATGTGGAGAAAGAGGGATTCATATAAATGGTTGGTGGAAATGTGAATTCATACAGCCATTATGAAAAATATGTGGATTTTCTTCAAAAAAGTAAAAATAGGGGTTGGGGGTTTAGTTCAGTGGCACAAGTGCCTGCCTGGCAAGCACAACGTCATCAGTTTGATCTCTGGTACAATAAAAAAGTAAAAAATGGAACTACTATATGGGTCAGATATTCGGCTAGTGAGTATATGTTCAAAGAAGATGAAAGCATTATACCCAAAATATACTTTCAGTTCATGTATACTGCAGCACTATTCACAACAACTAAAGAAGACAGTTAATTCAGAGGTACATCAGTGGATGAGTGGATAAAGAAAATGTAGCACGTATACACTGTAGAACATTATTCAGTCATAAAAAAAGAAATTTTGCCACTTTAACCAATATGAATGAAACTGGAGATCATTATGTATAGTGAAAGAAACCATACACAAAGACCTAAATATCATATTTTTACCCATTTATGTAAATGAATAACTCAATTTCATTAAAAATAGCAGTATCTAAAAATTGGGGGGAAGGGTGGAAATTTGAATAAGCAGTACCAAAAATATTTAGAAGAAACTACTTCTGGTTTCTCTAAATCTCAATGAAGTAACTATAATTAAAACAATTTATGATATAGTTCAAAATTTTCAAAAAGGACTAAAATTCCTAATATATAAAATTATTAACATTTTAAGGGTTAGAAGTACTTATAACCTTATAACTCTGATTTGGTTATTATACATGTAGTGTAGCAAATTACTGTAATATGCCTCATAGATATACAAATAAAATTAAGCTAATATATCAGTTTCTTCCACATAGGCAGGTTATTGAAGAGAATTATAATGTTGCCAACCATTTAACCACTTTTTCTTTGTTCTCCTATTGCACATAAACTTCACACAAAGTAAAACATATTGAATATTCCTTTTATGATGTTTATCCTCTACTTTTAGAAATTCAGAGAAACAAAACAAGAAAACAAGTCAAGTAGAAAACACATACACATAATACTATCATTTACCTCATGTGAGTGTGGCTAGTATTTGGAAAGTAATAAGTTAGAAAATGAGATTCTAAAGTAAATAAGAAAGGTTTTTCATTAGATGTCTTTATTGAGCACTATGTGTTATATGAAAGCATCAGTTTTATGTTTGGAAAGACTGCCATAAATACATATAACACTTTTGTAATAGGAAAAAGTTAAGCGGGAAAAAGAATTCAATGTCTTATAAGAACAGATTTTTCTATCTCTAGAGGTTAGAAGACCAATTATGTTCCTTCGAGCAGCTGATAGAAGACATCATCAACCGGGAAGTGCTTCTGTGGAAGAAGCCTGTCAGCTTCCCCATATATTAATAGATATTACCTCTGGGGAGCATCTGTGGGAGAGAAAAGCTATTTTGGTAAGTGATATCTCTACTGTATTTTGCTATCTAAGCCAAAATATTCTTTCAGATAGCCTTGTTAGTTATATCCTCAACTAAAAATAAAAGAAAAATGCATGAAAATTTTACAAAATGCCTGTTATTGCTAAATACATTAAGTATGATCAAGCAATTCATAATTTGTCATAACTGTGAATTTTGGATTGCCCTAATGGCATTGCTGGTGATTAAAAGTGCACCACACTCCTGCAAATGTGCAGACATGACATCTGGAAAGGAGCATATTCAGTAAGATGAAGTGTTACTGATAATCAAATCAAAACAAAAAGAGGTACTCCAACTTTCACAATATAACTTACACTGATTTCATCATTGATTAATATTTTCATAATAAATTTAGTCATAAACATATTTGTAACAAATAAGAATCCCTATTAGCTTTTATCTTAGGATAAATTTCATTTTTCCATTATACTTCATATATGTGATAGCACAGATGACAATAGTTTACAGAAAGCTCTTCTGCCACCAAAAACACTTGAGTAAAACATGACTAGACACAAGTTAAATTTCTAAGCCCACAGAATTTGTTTTGGTGATGTCCATCATGCCACCTGACCACGGTGCTCTTCTGTTATCTAGCTTGTTCTCTTTACCCAAACAAATTGATTTTTAAGTATATTGAATTTTTAAGGTATATTCATTTTTCTTTAGAATTAGTGTAGCAGCTCAGCCAAACATGGAACTTCTAGTTGTGGAGTAAAAATGTTTTGCATGGAACTTAATTAAAGGAAGGAGCCGTTGAATGATATGTGTATTTACTGAAATGCAGAATAATTATGAATGCAAAGTTAGTAGTTTTTGACAGTCTCTAGGAGGGTGCTATATGAACATGCATGAACATGAAAGATGAGTAGAGCGTTTTTGCTCACATGCACTGTAAAGCTAAGGTCTGGCTTTGTCTTCAGCAGTCTTTATCACAGGTGTAGAATAGTGATGTCGACCTTTCAGCAACAAGGGCCTAAACGAGAAGTGCCAACACAGTAATTAACCCCAGAATACTGGGGTTTTAATTTAGAAAAAAACAAGTGATATCTTTATGTCCTTTTTTTTTTTACAAGAGAAACACATTAACAAAGATTTCAATGATACATTTTTTTAGGTAAAAAGTTTGCACTCTGTATGCTTTTGCACAATTAATGTGATGTTTGCTATTGCATGCGTGCTGATATTTCGTCAAATCTTGGCTGGGCAACTTGACTTGCATGTGGACAGAGAGGGCTTTATGCCCACTGTAGCCCCATGGTATAGCTCACTGCCACTGGCTTAGAATGTGAATGAGGGACCAGGGATTTAATTCAGTAGCATAAGCACTTGCTTGGCAATTGCAAGGTTGTAAGTTGGATTCCCAGTACAACACACACAAAAATCAATCAATAAATAAGTAAATAGAATGTGAATGAACTCATTGGAACTGAAAAAGCATCTTTGAAGCCATTTTTTGTATTGCATCATATAAAAACATCTAAATAAGCACATAAACTTAACATTCTTCCAGGTTATCACAGGATAATAATAATAATACACAAAGGCAGCATATCTGCAAGTTTAATAAATGAAATTTTAAAATATGTGGTAGGTTTGGTACACTGATTAGTAAATGATTGTGTCAGGATACAACATGTTTATATGATAAAACTTTTTCAGTTGTTAATACTTATTAAAGATATGGGGGTTTAGAAATTGTTTAAAAGATAAAAAGGAAACAACTTGACAAATTGTGGTAAAGACAATTCAGATACGTCAACATAACTTATTGTAGACTATGTTACTGAGAAAAAAATAAATTTTATTTCTGACTAGATCTATCTAAGCCAATGGGAAACTCCAGAGATGATCAGGTATTGAAGACTCAGGAATCTGGAGAAAAGAGAAAGAGAGACCAACACTAGGAGAGCCTTAGATTCCAAATGATGAAAATTTGGTTCCTAAATGGCACAAGCCCAAAAACTTAAGAAAACAGTCATAATGTGGACAGAAATCTCAGCTGATATTTTGTCATTCTAAGGATGGACAGAGAGACAAGTCCAAAAAACAAGACATGAGGAGACCAGTTCTTAAAGAAAAGGGAAGCACATGGAAAGAACATAACAATATGTCTTTTTTTTTCTCCTCAGTAATTTGGTAAATTGTATTTGGTGCAGGATGAAAAGGCTTCAAAATAACATTTGGGCAGTTGCACAAAGAAGTCTGCAGTTTCACAGAATGAGGGAAAAGTCGTGAAGGAGAGACTCATGAGTACCATTGCCTTCCTTATAGGACACCTAAGGGTCTCAACTTAGCAATACAGGCAAAGGCAATCATTTCAGCACTAAAAAAGAGAGAAACAAGCTCTTCACTCAAATAATGCCATGTTGGAAGAGTGGGCTGACCCATATTGAAAGAACCTGAGAGACAGCAAAGGCATATACTGTCTAGAGGAAGGTGATATGAGGGAGGAAACAAATTACCACTCCATTTTTTGCATGAAATATCCAAAATTTATTCAAATTTCTTTAGTTGCAGAAAACCCAATATTAAAATTAATAGAAGACTCTTTGCACCGAGGAATCTAGAAGACATCTTGTTTATTATGCCAGTGGTCTGAGGAACAATAAATAGTCCCCAAATCACCAGCAAAGAACTAGCTTTAATATAGTTAAATTTAAATATAGTCCTATTTAAGTCCTATTTAAATATAGTTTATAAGCAGAAAGTACAAAGAATTCCATGATTGGTTACATGCATTGAATTAAGTCATGTAACTCTAAATATATTTGCTTAAAAGAATTATTTATAGCAGCATAGAAACATCCTGGGGACATGGGAAGGGATTCAGATGGAACAAGCAGAATTAAAAAGTATCCTTGAGTGGGTTACTCAGCACCAATCAAAATCCTTGATGCCACTTAGAAGCAATACATTTTCTTAACTAAAGGAAATATAAGCTGAGAGTAATCAAATGGGCCCAGTGCATTATCAGAAGAAAAGCAGCTGAACCCAAACAGTTGAGGGCAACTGAATTCAGCAGGGTGTTTATGTGTCAGGCAGCAGAAGCAGAGTCAAATAGAGTCTGCTATTTGACTTTAACTTGCTATAACATGGCTATAAGTTTGCTATTCTATTACCATACCTTTACTAATCATATAACTGTGCCCTTACAATTATACATGTCAAGATATAGAATAAAAAACAAAAAAATTAAGGTAATAAACAGACAATATAAGCAGATCCAATAGTAAAACAGAGTTGGGATTATCTACTATGTACTTTAGAATTATGAAGACTAAAATGCTTCATGATACTGCTAAAATATTGAAAATCACAACATGTAACTTAAATTCTTACATAATACATAGAAATTATGGAACTGAATATATAATAATGTAATAATACAATAAATGTTTTAATTTTCATGTTAGATGGCTGGAGAGGATTAGTAAGAGAAGATATTGTTATAGACTGAAATATATAGACTGAAATACAAAGAGGAAAAATGATTCATAATCTACAAAAGAACCTATGAGACAATTAGACACAATATGAATATTTAATATCCATACTGCATTTTCACCAGGCAGGAGGCAAGAAAATCTATGAACAGAAGAGCTCACTAGATTTTAAAATACCTATGGAGAAAAAGTAAAAGCAGTCACATGAATAAAAAGCATCACCTGCAAAGAAAGTATTTCATCAGAAATCACAAGAAGCAAAACAAAGCAATAGCATCTTCAAAATGCTGAAAGAAAATATACAGCAAACTGGAATTTTTTATCCACAAAAAAATCTTCAAAAAGGAAGATGGAATAAAGATATTATTTTTCAATAGAATTCATCAATTCACTGGTATAGAAAAATAATTTTATACTTTTCTAATGACTATATAAAAACACAGAAAGAAGCAAATATATTAAAAGTACTACATATTTTATTTAACCCAGTGTATCTGAAATAGTGTTTCAACATGAAATACAAAACACAATTAATGAAATATTTTAAACTTTTTTAAAACAATCTTTTCAAGATCTGGTGAGTATTTAGATTTGGAGTGGATATCAATTTAAAATAGTCATATTTCAAATGCTTAGTACGTTTATGTGATTAGTAGCTACCATGATGGAGAACAGATTTCTGTCTCTCACAAAAATAAACTTAAGTGGAATCTACAGTATATATATATTGGATCTATTGTTGAATAATTAGTTTAATAAGATATTAGATATTAAAGTTCATATTTAATTATTCTAATAAATACTTTTCTGTTTGGAATATGGTAGAGTTCTCTGACAATTAATGCAATCAGATCAGGTTCCTAAAATACAATGCCACTTAATGACATGGATATACTAAAATAAAAGTAAAACTTTGTGTGGAATACAATAATACAATTAAATATTTTTAATCCAATTCCATTTTACATTAAAAAATCAAAGCCAAACCAGTATCATAGTCATTATTATATACTCGGCATTTAATTCATAGTTCAATATTCATTAAATCATTCTGTAACAATGTCTGTTCTTAATCCAAATCTGTTTGAATGTACAATTTGGCAAAAAAAAATAACACCTTTCTTAAATATTGCACTAAGATAGAATTCCACAATAACTGACTAAAGCATAACATCAATTTTTTTCTCTGTATTAGAAAAGAAAAGTTAATGAAAAAAGCTGTCATACCTCATTTTGTAACTCTTCTGTCACTGTATTAAAGGCAAAAACTTAAAACAGACTTTCTAAAAACAAGATTAGCACTTATTTCTAGAACCTGACAGTTAAACTCTTTTATAATATGCTAATTATTTCTCAGGGCCACAAATTAAAACAATCTCTGGAGTGCTAATATATTGCTTTGAAAACAGGGGGTCATTTATGTCATTTAATGTATGGCTTTTAAAGGTGTAGCAAGTGTCTGAGGGTGAGGACAGGCATACTCACTGTTTAGAAGCTTGGGTTTTGCCTCCTGGGTGTCTTGATTTGGCTTTTTGTTCTATAATATTTTCTGTCTTTGTGATGAGAGGATTTAACAGAGTGACATTAAATGTTCTCTTTAGAACGGAATGTCTTAAAAATGGACTGAGCTGTAGAGATTCAAAGGAAAGAATAGCATATTTAAGTATATTATTCATAAAATTTGAACAATTATTTTAAATAAATGAATAATGAACATAAATGTAAACTAACTTATTAATATTTCTCATTAATGTCTTATATATTTGTATTCCTGAAGTTAATACCTGTAAATGTTCTTTAAAATATAAATGAGTTATGTCATGTGCTTAACTAAAGTGTATTTTAAAATTCTCACCAAAATACATACATATTTGAAAGAAACTAAAATATTTGATAAATACTCTAACTTTCTAAATAAATCTATACTATTCTACTTGTGAATATCAATACATTTTAATCTCAAAATAAAGTTTGCTGTCAATTAAGATAGATACTGATATTCCACCTATCACCTTTATCCTGTCAAGAAATATTTGCTTTGTGCTACCATCTACAGAAGGCTGCTTAACTACTGGAGAAATACAGTGTTAAAGTCTTTCTTTCTCCCTGTGATACATCTCTAAAAACACTGAGACAAACAAGAACTTGAAAACACTTTCAAAGCAAAATAACCAAACAACAACAAACTATTTTCAATTGCTGTAAAGAAGTTTACTAAATCTCAAAATAAATTTAATTTTATATTTATTCAACCAATATGTATGCATCTGCTTTGTGGCAGGGGCTGTTCTAACATCACCTTGCCAACACTTCTCTCCCTGTGTACATGCCCTCCCCCAAAACATCATCCAGCAGGGTAGGTGAAGAGATGAGAATTACAAGTCAAATTTCTAAATGTATAGCTATCATTTGCTCATCTGTATGTGACAAGGTGGAAGGTAAAGGTTTGGTCATTTTCACACATAAAATAATAGGTACCAGTGCAAATTTAAACTCGGACATTTTCAAAGTCTGTGGCTTTCAGAAGTCTATCTCTACTTTTGAACTTTTGTTTCCTCATTTTTCAAATGGACTTACTGATCTCTGACTTACACAGGCTTTCTGGGCATACCAGCTGAGTTAAAGGACCTAAAATAGTCTTTGTTTTTGACACACAGAATAAATAACTTAGTGATTAAATGCAGAGTTTTCATTACTTGGAAACCATCCCTAACATCTGATTTCTGAATCTTCTTAACTTCTTAATCTCTCAGTACTTTATACATTTGGAAAACAAGTATAATAAAGTAATACCTATCTTGAAACACAGTTATGAGGATTAAATGAAATTTTATGTGTAAGGCATACCAATTGACATATTAAAATCATTAGGTGTTATCACTAATTTGTGTAGTGTTTTCCAAAGAGTAAATATTTGTGTCAAGTTACTTAAATTTTAATTCTTATTGCTATAATTAAGCCAGTAAGGTGGAACACCTTCATCTAGCAGTCTGCAAAAGTCCTGAAACCTCACTGAGATAAAGTCAGCATACATTTAGGATACAATTGAAAAGAATATTATGTGCAACACCATATAATCTTTGGAGGTATTTGCATTTGGAAAAAGGAGTTATCTTCTACTGAGACCATCAGAAATGACTATATATATATATATATATATATATATATATATATATATATATACAATTATGAAATAAACCATGTAATTGAGGGAATCTCCATTTTTTCCCATTACTAGCACCAGTGTTCTTTGAACTCAGATTCTTCTGGAAATGACCCCAGGAGTGGATGGTTAGGGAAGATCCTTCATTCATGTTAAAAATAGTTACAGAACACTGATCACTTACAATTTTTAAGGAATTACTGCTCAGATATGATAGGGCTGGGAATCACTGAAATGAGGTTTGAAATGAGGGTTAATTGTGGTCTCTGACCTCCAGTTTCTATTAAATTTTCAAGCAAAGACATTGACTTCAGAAAGTTAGGAACTGGTATTCACAAGAAATGAATAAGTGAGATAGCATAATTGGGAATAAAATACAGGGCAAATATGGCATCAACAGGATTCTATTATAGCACAGTACTCAGCATAATCTTACAAGCTGCATAGTCAACTTTGTTTCTGACTCACACACAACAATAAGCTGAGCTGAGGATGGTATTAAATCTGCCACAACCAAAATGCCAGCAGCATCCTAGAGGAAATAATCCTAAAGTTCACATGGAACAGAAAAGGCTCAGAATAGCAAAAGCAATTTTGAGCTACAGGAGCAAGGCAGGTGGCATAGCAATATCTGACTTCAAGCTATACTACAAAACAACAGTGATAAAAACAGCATGGTAGTGGACCAAAAACAGATATATGGATCAATGGAGTGCTGTAGAGGATATGGAGACTTCAACACATTCAGTTATTTGATTTTTTTTTTTACAAAAGAGTAAAAAACATATGTTGGAGGAAAGATACCATATTCAACATGTTGGATAGATAGATAGATAGATAGATAGATAGATAGATAGATAGATAAGAGAATACTAGTTGCCTATAAAGAATGACAAATTTGAGACAATTGAGGGAAATGGATGCACCTGGAAAATATATTAAGTGAAATAAATCAGACACTCAAGTTTAAATACCATCTGGTATCTCGTTTGAGTGAAGCAAAGTACAAAGACTAACAATGGATGGATAGAAAGGGACAGGGGACAGCTCCTCTTGCAATAGGGAAGGCAAGTGGTGAGGAGGAGGGGAGAAGATATTCACTGCAGTGAATATACACATTATATGCCATAACATGAGCTAAGATTAGTATCAGCTGAAATCAGGATAGGTGAATAAGAGGAAGGAGGAGGAAAGTAGGAGGAAAGGAAGGGGGATTCAAAACAGAACCAAGCTGTGGTACACATGTATGCCCCCCCGGGATGACTGTAACCACAGGTACTTCAAGCACTGACTAATACATTTTTTTAAATGAAAAACAAATAAACTGAGATAACAGAATGTCTGAAATTGGGAGCCAGGGAAATAGATGCAGAATAGGAACAGCAAGATTTATCTACGGCAGATATAAGCAATGGAATGCTTCTAATGACATTCACCACACTAGTTCTTTCTAGATCTCTCCTCTAAGGTTCCCAGTTCTGAAAGAGTCTGACATTGAAGGCCCAAGTTACAAAGGTTTATGGAGCTGAGATGGTATGCATTACAAAACAATATAAAGTCATACTTTAATGTGACTCAAGTCCAAAAACAGGTAGTCAGCTCAATAGAAAAGCAGATTATTAGACTTAAAATAACCATAGCCATTTAGTGCATGACAAAATTGACATTTCAATCAACATGAAAAGGAAATACTCAAAGGTGGTATGTACTTGAATGATGAGTTTTATATTCTGAAAATAAAAATGATTACACATTATATCTCATATCATGGGCTCACAAAATTTAAATATTTAAACATTTAAAAAGAGGATATTTGAATAAACAAGCGAACATTAGATCAAGGAATATATTTTAGGAAATTATCCTGACTCTGCATGGAGGTAACTGAAATTATATTGATGATATTATGTTATAATTTTTAAAATTCAGTAAAGTTTTTCAAATTTTCCGGGAAAATTTTGATCACTTTTAAGAAGTTATTCTTAAACTAGAAAAAATAGAATGTTCTCACAATTATTTTGTAAACACAACATCTGATTCCAAAATATGGTTAACACTAAAATATTTGAACTACGAGATTTTCAGATTTGCCATGAAGCTGAACCCATCAAGACAATGTAGTACTCAGGAAAGAACAATAAACAAATCAATGGAACAGAAATCAGACTTCGGAAAACCAGCCACAGAAATATACTTTATGTGGCAAGCTCTCCTTAGATAAAGGACCAAGGCAATGCAAGAGAGCATTAGAATAGTGTTAAGGTGATTTTAACAAGAAGTTAGCAGAGAACCAAGACATAATGATGAGATGTGGCAATGAACACAAGGCTAAACTTTAACAGTCATTACAATGCAGTGATATGGATAGCAGCACACAACCCAAAGTTCTCAACTACTCAAAGCATCTAATTAGCAATCTGCTTCTTTTTAAATCATGTGCAAGTGGAGAAGCAAAAGGACTGGCTTTTCTTATTTTGTATTCAAAGCATTTTCCTCGTAAAGATAACTTCATTTTATCTGCATTGAAATCATGTTTAGATTGTAGCTTTTCAAACACAAAAATATCTGAAAGCACATGGCTGCAGCAGAGAACCCTAAAATCCACTTAAGCTTTTTATAGTCCGTGTTCCATCATTTGTAAAACTGATTTAAATTTAATCCGAGCTAAAGAACAATTTATATATGCCATTTCATTGAAATTATGATTAATGTGCTTGAAATATGAATTATAAATGAGATAAAATCAATACCATGTTAAAAGCCATGCTTCTGGTTCAAATTCATAATGAAATAAATTAGAATATATTCTAATTTGCTATTGTTTAGAGTTTTCACTGAAATTATAAATATATATATATATATATATATATTCATTTCCTTTTATATATTATATACATAAAATAATGTATATTCATTTTCTGGGGTAAAAGACAGTGCTTAAAGCATTCTAGTCACAGGGGTTATGAGACCATTTTATGTACATGTTAGGTAAGACAGCAGCTATTTATTTTTCTATGGTATGATGAATCCTTTTTCAAAGAACACTAAGAACTTTTATAAATGTATTACTGTACATTGTTCATTGTCAGTGAAAACTGAGAAATAATGACCTATCATCTTTTGTACTACTGATTAGAATAAAAAAGATTAATGAGATTAAGCAAATAGTGAAACTAAGCTTACCAGATAGCTTCAAAAAGGTCTCTGTCATAAAAGACAAAGACCGTGGACCTATTCTATATTAAAGGAGATTAAGGGAACATAGTTGTTGTACTAAAGTTTGGAGAGAAATAGATTTAATACAGGACACAAAATTTATAAGGTTAGTTTATAATATTCACCCAAAAAGTCAAATGCAGAAGACTGCAGGAGATATATCCATGCACTAGAGACCCAAAGAATCCTATTAGGGCCTGGATCCCACAGCAATTTACTGCATGAGTCCAACTGGAGGCCTAGAGCCCA